CAAAATACTATACCTATTAGCCATATAATAGGTCTCTCGACAGAGGTTTAGCCCAAACATAATATAATCAACAAGGCTAGAGATACATTCAAGTCTAGATTCTAGACACTAACTACTACTATCACATAACTCTTCGGTTAGGAAGGGTATTCAACATGGCTATATGCTAACAGGACAAACTTTCATCTTTCTCTATATCTCAGACGCTTCCATCATAGTCTACTTCTATGTGTATATGTTGAATCTGGAAATCTTTGACAATGACAAGACCAGGCTACACTACAATGCCGTCGCACAGGTGTTTGCATTCGTCCTCCAATCTTCCAACTGAAACTGCCCCCACAGTCATAGCATGACGTAGCCATCACTCTCGATATGTAGAGTGTCGAGTGTAATGATATGCTAAGCAGGAACCCCAAGAGAGTCCATAAGTATCAGGAGCCTCGGACCTCCTCTTAAAAACCTCCGCATTGGCAAGAGTTCACTCGCTCGCCCATTCACACACCGCCAACCCTACAGAGACAAAAGTGATGCCGTGATTGCTTATATGTCAATTGTGTGCTGTCAAGAGAATCAACGTCAAAGACGTATCAGACCAAAACAAGCGACAGCCTGTATGGGAGCCTGTCGTTCCTTGTGATCAGGTCTCTACTGTCAACGACTAAGTCATATGTGCCTATTTGGAATATATTTCTTAATGTAACATTTGACTAGTCTTGGCGATGAAAAGACACCTTAGCAGGTTAAAGGAGATCTATCGAGGCCAAAGACGAAACCGTGTCTGATATTTTAACTTTCGACTGGCAGTGGGTGTGTTAGATATATCCATTCTATTGACGGTGTTTCCAGGCATGGTGTCACAGTACTGTGCCCATCGTGACTGACTTTCAATCCGTTGAAGCAGCGTTGGGATCCGTCTGTCCAATGCGCGTCCGGACATGGGCGGAGCTAGGTCTTGTTCTCTAATGGAGGGGGCTGTTGGCGCGAAAAGCGTCTCTAGGACGCAGGGGCATCATCATCATGGCCCTCGCGGGGCCAACTCTCAGGGAGAGAAGCTGCTAGTTCACACGTTCCATACCTAACAGTGGAACGAAGCGCGCATACGCCACTGGTTTACCAGACGACCTTGGCCTCAACCTTGAGGTGTATCTTACGAGATAAATACGAAGTCTATGTTATGTTGGTACTTATATTTACTACGATCTGGAGACTTGTTGGAGCTTTGACTCGTCGTGAAGATCCGGGCGCAAGACCTCACCCCACCTTCCGGATCCGTAAATCGGCATGTTTTGATTGGCGTTCCGGAATTTGCCAGCCAGGTTGCAGGGTCGAAACGACGTTGATTGTCTACGGAAAAGCCTGCCTCTTAGTGCAGATTACTTACTTGATAAGTAGTCTTACACATGCCGGCCAGGAGATTAACGGCTTAGCCCATTCTCGCCATTGGGGATATATGGTTCTGTTTGGGCAGGGACTGCCAACGGCATCCGGGGCCAGACGAAACGGCAACATGGACGGAGATGGGAACGGGGGATTTGGGGGCTGTAACCGGACCGGATATAATTAATTACCCCCGGCAGCTGATTGATTAGTTGCTTGCTTACCATCCTCTCCAAGTGAGATGATTGTCATGTGTTCTCACGGAAATGTGACTTACGCGAGCAGGAATGATGATGATGTCTGCCTGTATTGTTTGTTTAGTTGATTGGCTGGCTCGTAGCCCGACGTCTTGTGTTGTTCATTCACTCACGGATACCACCTTACTCGGGGACGAAACTCAAGTGTACCAAAATCCATTTCCGTCTTCAGAGGTGAGCTCTTATTGCTCTAAGCTGAGCGACCCCTGAGCACTGGGTGAGCATCTCTGAGCTCCAGCTGACTCGGACTGAGCTTAGGCTGTCCGCGATTTCGGGAACCTTCAATCTCTCCCCAGACATAGCCTTTTGCTTCTCATACGTCGCATCGCTGCCTTCCTCATGCTAAGCCATTTCGGCGTGAATCTGTCGAGCAGTAATGCACCCCAGAGAGAGGAAAGCAGAGAACTTCGTACTGCTGTCGCCATTTAACAAGCTGTTATGAGTATCTTTGTAGTCCTCCATAGCCCCTGACTTCCAAAAATGTGCCAGCCGTGTTTGTGCAGAATCCTTACCTCCTTTGAAAGCGTGTACCGATGCGAGCCTTCTAAAGGAGGACTATGCGTGACGTCCCTGACATCTAGGATTGTTTTTTCAAGATCCTCGTAAATTTTCGGATTCTCAAAAGGAGGTGTCTGTGGTGGGAGATCTGGTTCTGGCACTATAGGTGGTAGTGATAACTTCTGTGGCCCAGGGTAAACCGCACGCGGTCTCTCTCGAAAGGGTTCAGCCAGCTTCTGGTACTCTGTAAAAGCCTTGGGTAAGTCGTCTAAGCTCTCGATTAACAAGTCCCGGCTATATATAATATTCGCTTAACATATTCCTCAAGATGCAAACATTACTCGTTTCCATCTGTATTGTACTGCATCCCGAATCTTGCCCTCGGGAGCGGCAGAACCCTCGCCGCCTGAACAGGCGCTAAACTGGCACTAAGCAGGACGGGCACAGGGGCGCCACCGGGTGCCCTACGGATTTGACAAGAGTCGTCAACTCCTCGGGAGGGCTTGACAGGGAGTCATCTCGGGCGACTCCAACTCACAACTAAACACAAGGCTCCTCGTTTCTGCCACCACACGCCTGCACAACGGGCATTCTAAATTAAAAAAATTAAAAGTAAAATCAAAGCAAATACTAACTTATCTTACTGTTACTATAACATTTACATTCCCTGTGGATTTTAGTTACCCCCGGCCAAGGGTTTTCTACCCCCCGTTGATTGTAACTCCTTCGCGAATACATGATTGAAGTTCAGGTGGTACTTAGGTAGAATTAAGGGTCTAACGGCACATCGGCACAACCTTAAAACGGCACACTAGCTATTTAGCTAGGTAACTGCCATAAGAGGCAGTGACCCCGATGCTACTCGCCCTATCCAGGCACCTACCTACTGCATAGTATCTGCCCAGGTATCTGCTAAGAACCCCTGGAATCTCGCCAGCTACTTAAGTCTGGCTCCCTGTGGGCGGGTAGCCTGGCCCGCGTACTAAATTCACCAGGTGGAATCTTTTGTCTGTAGAAGATAGATCTCTCTCAGGCTGTCACAAAATTGGCTTCTATTTTACACTCACTTGGGGACCAGAATGGAGACACTCCCCTCTGATTTAACACTGTCCATTCTCAAGCATGTACCGGATCTTTCGACATTATACTGTCTCGTCGAAGCGTCACCGGCCGCATCGCGCGTCTTCGAGCTCAATGCCGCCCAAGTCATTGAGTCGGCATTTGCATCAGGCCATCTTCATGAGTTCACCTGTGCTATAATCCGCATCGTAGCCTACGTACGGTGTGGAGCTCTCTTGCCTGGTGTGTCCAATATGCACGATTTCGATAATTTCTACCGGCACGAAACTACCGAGCTTCGCTATGATCCGCCGCTATGGACAGAACCGCCGCTCCGGCTGGTCTCCGGCGTCGTACCAGGCTCCGTGTTGCGTGGCATTCTCGCTTCACACTATCACAATGAGAGTCTGATGGTCGGATGTCTCGTTACGTATCTGGCGCGCTTCCGTGCCATCCAACCTATGCATCTGGTGGATCAGGACTTCGTCTGGACGAGCGGGTATCCCCCCAGCCCGAGCACGAGTCCGAGTTCGAGTCGGAGCGCGAGTCCTAGGCCGGAGGCTGATCCGAGCTCCACCGCTAACAAGTATGTCGGGGCTTGGCAGCTGCAGCCCGCCTCTCAGCCTTTTATGAGGCATGATATCGGCCCACCTACGTGGTGTGAGGAGCAGCGTGTTCTCCGAGCCTTGTGGCGGGTGCAACTCACCAATGATTTGCGAGTCGCGGAGACCACAGACAAGCTGGAAGACGGCTGGCCGTTACGCCTGTACATGCGAGGGCTCACGCTCACGCCTTGGGTCAGCGGTTCGGTAGACCCGATCCAGCGCCCAGATCTCGAGCCCCAGTTATGGCAGCAGCTGATCAACGTTGAGGATGAGCTTGCCGCTACCGTAGTAGACTACGCCAGGAATATTGCTGCTACTACATCGGACCTTCGACAGCACACAGAAAGGGACTGGCCAATACCAATCCCAACTCAAAAGGACCTCTTGGAGGTTGAGTGCTATACTTCTGCGATGGCACTAGAGTTCGAGGACGTAAAATTGGAGGATGACGATATAGGACATCATAACTTGTGGGACATGTGCTCCCCCCTGCAGCATGTACCATGGGAGTTTTTCCGCCGCAGAGGATTCGCGATCTGGTGCGAGGCGAGAATGCTGGGATATGGGCTCCTGTCCGCGACTTTCTGTGTTCCGGAGGGAGAATCAAGAAAAGGTGCTAATTACAGCTTCGGCTCGGTGTTGATGGCGTGGAAAAGCGTGCTTACGGAGGAAGAATTTGCAGAGGTTGCTCGCCGCAATCGGCTGTTAGAGGACGAGATGCTGAACCGCTGAAGCAGCCTGAGCTAGATTCACAAAATTCTTGGCTTAAAGGCCTTGTAGAAAACCCTGAGTTTCTATGTTCATCTTAAACACCAACATGTAGAATGATATCGTGGTACACTGAGGTGAATCGTCCATGCAAATGTGGCATTTCTAATTACACTGTATATTGTTGCGTCAAGGACTCATTCTAGTGTATTGATTACTCGAGGCCGGGTATTGCCTTCTGACTTCTTGTGATCGAGTGTAGACCGAATACATAGTTAAGAAGTGATAAGAAAGGAAAGTCAAATGAGATTACGATAGAATAGATTGCCAAACCCCTTGATTGTATTATTCTGACCTGTCCACTACACATCATTCGTTTCCCCATGTTCAAAGAGTTTTAGGTGTAATCAACTCCACCCCAGCAAAAATGCGGCGAAGAACGGCTGTTGCTTTACGAACCGGCGTTTTGGAATGGTATCTGCGTCTAAGCACGTCACGTTTGATCGCAGGGCAGCTGGTCAGGCTCGTTGCCAGTCTGTTCGTCTCGTCATGCATAGCATCCTAAAGATGGGTTTAAGTAAGCCTTATCCTAGAACCAAAGGCATCGTAGCATGAGGGTTGGCGGCAAGCAACCTATGGGGAACTCACAATAACATCATTATGTTCTATCGTCGTGGCCTTCGCATTAAAGTCGGTCAACTGTTGCTGCAGATCAGCTTTGTTCTGGGGCGACCAAATGTCGACTGTGTTCCCGTTCACGTCCACCTTGGTGGCCAACAACGTGGCGGGGAAGTCCAGCTCTTGTATTGTGGCGGCTTTCTCGGTAGTGCCCGGGATGTAAAAGTCCACTGGGTGCTTCACCGCATTTGCGGCGAACTGTCCAGATAGGCCTGGCTGTTTATTGGCCCAGTTCTTCAGTTCCTTGTATATGTTATCCTCACGATCTGGGTTACAGTCAGTCACATTGGATGTATTTACTTATTTAAAGGAGCCAGAGCTTACCGTAAAGTCGGTAATTGTGCCTGGTAGCGTTGTTAGCCCTTGTGTGAACTTCAAAATGCATTTGAGGTCACGGGAGAGAGGAAGGAGGGAAGCATTTACGCGTATTTGATAGAGTCTTGAGCATCACTGAGTAGGCTACTCATGATTGTGTCTGTCCCCAGGGCCACTCGGGCATCATGCATTGTATCTGAGATCTAGGCTTCCCCGTTAGCTGCCGCCAGGTCTAAGAGACCAGACATTGAAATGGCTCCAGATGATGCTGGTGCTGCACCTACCGCACGCACGCCTGTTGCCCAGGCCACACTTGCGCCGGTAGCCCACTTGCCGGGATAGAGCTTTTCGAAGTCTTGCAAAAGCTTCGGCCTGATATTGTTCTGCTTTGTTTGCCCGTAATTGACAACTATGCGAACATTGCATCAGTCAACTGAACCACATTGCAGTGGCTGTGGGGGCTAAGTACTCTTGGCTTTAATCTTTTTGAAGTTGGGATCTAGTCTCCGTAGTCAGAAAACTTATCAGCGGGCGAGTAATAAGACGATCTGATGGACTCGGGCGAGACTACTGCATCTCAAAGCCCTGGAGCTGCCTTACTTAGCGAATGCCCTGTAGAATCGTATGGATAACCCGCCCACGCCGACTGTTTGCCAATGTGCTTTGCAAACTCGTCAAACGTGCAGATGCCTTGCATTCCCGCAGCTGCCGCCGCGGAAATGAACGTGGCCTCATCTTTGTTACTCGCTGTGGTTGAGGGCCAGTTCGTCTAGACGTTACATACTTGATTAGTGTACCTTGACAATCACGGGCGATGCGGATGTGAGAACGCCTCGCAACACGAGGCTCTACCATCACTCGATGCTATAGAATAGAACTGACTGCGTCGTGTGTACAGCCGGTAGCCATTGTTCGACTTGAGATTCGGCCCTGCTTCCAGGCCCTGTATTCAGCCTTATACACAGCTACTTAAATCAGCTTTAGGTCGGGTACCGTCGTATGAGGATGTCTGAAGAAACTCACTGTACGCCCACATAAGCTCGCCAGGCACGGCTACATTCAAAGCTACGATGCCGGTGGCCGTGTACAGGCTGAGTAGAACATTGGAGATGCGCATTTTCGAACAGCACTAAGAGCCGACGTAGAGCAATGCGTATCTGAGCAGTGACGGTAGCGCAAGTGCTGTTACAATAGGAGTGTTACTTTCCTGACGGCGGACAATACTCTCAATGAGTAAAGGATTGAAGTCAGAGCAGATCATCTGGCATACATAGCAGAAGGTCTGGATTGAAGAGCAACTGGTAGAACGCCGGTCCCCAAACAGGGGTACCGGCATCTTGATCCGAGATCTCGCAAAAGGTAGCCTTTTTCAGGTCATCTCGGATGCTAGGAATGAGGGATGGGTAGTTGGACGTCGCAAATTTGACGCTATCAGATCATAAACTTTCTAGAGTCGTAGTCGTTCATTTCCGAGCAGGCATCAACAAGATTAGGACTGTGAAGAATAGGAGTCTAGAGCACCAACGTGCAGCTATGTTCGGCTTATACAGGGGAGTCATTTACAAACTTGGGCTAGTCGTGCATACAAGCCTTTTCCGCGGCAGGATGTTACCTACCCAGGCCATACTAAGCTTTTGGTTAGTGCACGTCGGGTGCCTTCCCACATTCCTGTGAGCAGGGGTTCAAAGCTTCGTCCATGCAGCACAGGTGCCAGATGAGGAGATCTGCAGGGTCTCGCCGTGCGTGCATAACTCCCGACAAGGATTACCATACCATAGTCCATACCATAATAAACGCTAGATAAAAATAACCATATTCAACCATAAAGTTGCCGCAAAGGCTTAAGTGTTACAGTTACATGACCATTGAAACCCACCCCAAGTCCTACAGTTTATGACCGAGGCCGCACTCTGTCGCCTATCGCGCGACAACTGTTAATGAAGTCAAGATTGGCTTACCGCTTGTAAGCTCTCCACACTCCGCGCTTGTTCACCGCGGATGCTACCAATCTTATCAATGGGGAAGGTGCTGTCAGGGCCAGGCTGGCTCCATCAGGACCTGCAGAAAGCGGAGATTGTCCTGCATTGTGGCCGAGAAGGGCAGAGAAGGCAAACCTGGAGGTACATTGCGAGCATAACATGTCAACTCGAGGAAGTAGCCGTCCATAGTGCTAAGAGTGAATTTAAATCTAAGGATTACAGAGAAAGAGCAATTTCATAAGACAGGTCTAGTACTCAAAGGCGTTTATGCGAGACTTGATTCAATATCCTATCCAATATAACGAGAAGAGAGTGGATTAAAGAAGAAGCTTCAAGGAGAAATTGAGCTTTAAGAACGGAGAGCATGACTGCTATGTAAAGCGTTTCAAACTTCCAATAACTCATGGCTATACCGCACGAGAGTTGAAATAAAATCGTCAGCCTATCTCCACACGTCTGTGACAGTCTGAGTCGACGGGCACCCGTTAGAAATTGTGAGATTGTAGTGTGGATCCAAGGTCGTGATATATGTTCCGTTGCTGTATGAGTGCACATATTGATATTCGATTTTGTCACTGGCATTGAACGGCACAGTCAGATCCCACACCGGATTGCTTAACGTGTAAAAGGCCGCAGACATGGCCAAACCATTGGTCACGTTCCAGTTTCCCAGCTCGTCCGTGGATCCGACAATGCTGATGAGCTCGTAATCGTAATCACTTGAGATGGCGTACTTGATCTGGAACGTCACCGAGACTGTGGCAGCCGGGGTAGCGCATGGAGTGGTGGACGAGCTCGGTATTACACTACTACTGGTAGTGGCGCTGGTAGGAATTCCAGTTATCATTCCCTCAAAGGCATTGACGCGGACGAAAGTGCCGGTTGAGGGCGCCGTGGTCTCGATGGTGGTGAGATAAGCGGTGGAATCATACGAAATCAACTCGTAAACCTGGTTGGCGGGCATCATAGAGGTACAAGCAGCATAGTAGAGCGGCCTTTCGGGATAGTCGGTGAGAAAGGGAGCATAGACTCCAAAGCTACGGGGGCAGCATGCACCATAGGTTGCATTCCACATGTTGGCGGTCCAGCCGCTTGGGCAGACAAGAGTACTGAATGCCGGAAGACTGACCGAGTTGAGCTCCGCCTATGAATAACAATAAGCGACGGCAAGAGGTTGGAACAAAGGCAAAGCCGACTTACCATGACGCTGGAATAGAACTGGCTCGGGTAGCAAGTTGTGATAGTGGAAGTGGGGACAGGGTTGATTGCATTTTCCCAGAGATTTGTTCCGTGGTAAGCCATCTGAGTGATCAAGCCGGTGCATTGCGGGGACTGTGTGAAAGTTGTAGACAAGGCCATGTTGTACTTGGCAGTGTTTGTCTCGATAGACGTCCACGGAGTTCCAGTGACTTTGGCAGTGGTCGAGGAGATAGTAGTACTGGAGGATTTGGCCGTAGTTTTGGATGTCGAAATTGTGGTTGACGACGAAGGACTAGTTGTAGCAGCACTCGTCTTTGTGCATTCAAAACACTCGACGTCATAGTATCTATATGGAGAACCCGAGTTTGCCCCTGCCGTTGAGTTACCCGCATGCAAGTTGCAGTACGCGCCTGCATCAAAGTAGAGATTTGTGCACCCGGGGGTCTGCAAACTGAGGCGCTGTTAATCTACCAACCTCCGTCATACTGAAGGGTGGTGTAATAGACCTACCAGATTGCACTACAGGCATCGATACTCTGAACATATGTCCCTGAAGTGTACGAGATGATAGTCGTTCCCCCATTGCTATATGCCAGCTCGTTACAAACGGCTCCCACAGGTACTGCATAGCCAGGTTGTCCACATGTTGACGGACATATGAAACAGCTCGAGTCATAGAACGTATAAGGGGATCCAGAATTGAGTGTATGTGTTTCCATCCCCGAATGCAGGTTACAATACTGCCCCTGAGCAAAATAGATATTGGTGCAGCCTACCGTGGCCAGACTGTCCAGATTCGTAAGCGGGCCATAACACTAGGTAGAGGTTCTTCAGGGAAGGAAGACTAACCATATGTCCTTACATTGCGCTACGCTCAGTACATACTTCCCAGATGTATACGAGACGATAGTCGTCCCTCCGTTGCTATAAGCCAGTACACCGCAGACGGCTCCTGAGGGTTGCGGAGAGGCCAAACCCAGGGGATTGGTAGTGCAGGCGGTGGCAGCCGCCGTGCTACTTTGTGTTGTTACTGTGTTTGTCAAAGCTGAGCAACTAAAGCAGGCCGCATCGTAGAAAGTGTATATGCTCCCCGAACTTAGTACGCTTCAATATCGTCAGCTACTGGCATCAGAAACGAAACAAAATGGGAGGCACAAACTGGGTTTCTGCTCCCGCATGGAGATTGCAGTATTTATTCAGAGAAAAGTAAAGATTGCTGCATCCCGTCGTGGCCAGGCCTAGCTCTCATAATTCAGTTCTGTCATGAACAAATGCATACTATCTTAGTCGCACTTACAAGTTGCTGCGCAGGTTTTGAGACTCTGGACATTGATTCCACTGGTGTATGAAACTACAAACAACGACTGGGAGTCAGTAGGTCCTCCACTGATCTCTCTAGGATACATAGAAGTTATGACAAACTTATAGTGACACCTCCGTTGGAGACAGCAGCCACACCGCAGACTGCCGCAGAGGGTGTTGGGGTCACCACGCCTGACGTGCCCGTAGAGCATTGACCAATACCTACGTACCCATTGTCAGTTACTCTTGGGGAATCAGCGCCGAGTCTTAGGAGAACTGACTGGAGATAATCTGTCTTTCTGCCAAGGAAGCCGTCCTCGTTGGCGGAGAAGTCGTGATTGTAGCATTGGCGAGACTGCACGAGGACAACCCGAATACTGAGATCAAAAGAGTTTTGGACAGCTTCATGATGCAGTGCAACAATAATTCAACAAGACTACGAACGACCTGCCTTAGTTCAGACGAAGAGCGAACCTGGAATCTAGATGGCGAATGATGAGATTTGAGGGTCCAGAGTTCTTGAGCAGCAACGCAGACCTGTCATGTAGTTACTGCCCCCTCGCGTAGGTAGGTAGGCAGGGTTCACACCGTCGAGGTAAGTAGGCTGGGCCAGACTCATACAATCGGATTCCCATTTGACAGCGGGTATATCGGGAATGCTTCCATCTCATGAATTGGAAACCCGCACTACAGCATCGGCCCGGGGTGAATTGCCAAAGAGAGGTAGGATCGAGACTAGACTATGGAAGCGTGTGGCCGGCCCCTTCGAAAAACGATAAGATGCTGACAAGGATGTACTGTCACACATGCAGGGGAACTCTGCAAAGACCCCCTGTGGTGGATCCAGATCCACATCTTATGCAGGAACACCATGTATCTATTTCGGACCTGGACATCCTGTGTGATCAAATGCATCTCACCTTGCATGCTGCCATAATGGTCAAATGAGCTCCTTGAACTATCGAAATCTAACGCACTTGAACGTATGTAAGCTTGTATCTGTTATTTTCGGTAGAACCCCTGATTTTGTTATTCGATGAATAGCGAGAAGGAGAATCCACTATCATCGCTACCTACCTATGTAGGCTTCAGTCAAAATGGGCTCGACCGAGACAGAGCGATGTTCTTACGATGATGGCGTTGAGACAGGCATGCATTCGGGTTCGCCCTCCTTCACGGCCCTGCACTTTGAATTAGGGCAGCCCCATGATTAACTTATGCTTTCTCAACCAAGTAGACCAGTCTCTCATGCCAGAATTTGTTTGGTTTCCCAATACTATATCTCTTGGCTCGGCCCGTCTGCATTCACGCTGTTCAAGACTGGCTTTGTACACAGCGTTCCCTTCAACACTGTCTTGTCACTGGCGCCATCTGCGTCAATTTCTTAAGTCATGATGATACAGTGGCTTCATTCTTTCGCCCTGCTGGTCATCTTGAGAGTTGTTTTCGTTGTTGCAGAACCATCTCTATCGTCTCCGGAGCCTGGAACTTATCTTCGGCATCAGCGACGAGCCCTGGAGAAAAAGCCACGGTATATCCAGTCCAATGTCACTGTCTCCTCCAACGTTACCGGCACTGCCAATGTGTCGTATTCTGCTCTTGCAGACGCACAGAAGCTGGTTGATGCGATGTTAGCCCAACAGAGCATCTACAACACCTATAGAGTTGAATTTCCGAGACGCAACAACTATTACGCAGACAATCTCCCAAAGCCTGGTTCTGTGCATAAGAAGACGCGCCGTCGCGATGAGGAGCCTGTGCCTCCAGTGCTCAACAGCACCATCCGCGCTGCAGCCGCCATGTTAGCTGAACACCATGCACAACAACTAGCTGCTAATGCCTCCCTGCACAAAATATACCGTATGTCTTCATGATACTACACACTTTATGTGCAATATGCAGATTTCTGACTCTAATAGAACAACCTACCAAGATACAGAGGTTCGATGAGACAGCTGAGAAGCGCAAGAGAGCATCATCGGACTACTGGTTAGGCTCCATAGCTCATACCGGTCTGGCGCCCATGGGCCAGAACAACTCCTGGGTTGTGTTCCGAGATGTCACCAAGTTTGGGGCTAAGGGCGACGGTAAGACTGACGACACCGCCGCCATAAATGCTGCTATTGCTTCCGGTGGCAATTGTGGTAAAGACTGTTTGTCTTCTTCAACAAAGCCCACTCTGATATACTTCCCACCTGGGACATACTTAATCTCTACGCCTATCCAGGCTTATTACTACTCCCAACTAGTGGGTGATGCTAATGATCTGCCAATCATCCGAACGTCGCCATCCTTCATTGGTCTCGGAGCCATCGAGACTGGTAAGTCCTCGTTACTCGCAGTCTCAACCCGTTTCTAACTTGTCTTCTCAGACGTCTATGAGCCAGGCAAGAATGGTGACGAGTGGTATATCAATCAATCAAACTTTTACCGTCAAGTTCGCAATTTTATCATTGATGTTGAGGATTCTACTGGAGCTAATATAGCTGGTTTGCATTGGCAAGTGGCGCAAGGCACATCGCTTACGAATGTGTATGTATACGCCTCAACATCAAAAGACACTACCTCCATGGGCATGTTCACTGAGAACGGAAGCTCTGGTGAGTTCGCTCTTCCCTTTGTTGTTATGTCCTAGTAGATACACTGGAATTGATATGTGTTGTTCATAACTCACAGGGTTCATGGGCGAATGCTTCTTCTATGGCGGCAAGTACGGCATCTATGGAGGCAATCAGCAATACACAGTCCGCAGTTTCGAATTTATGTTGCAGACTACAGCTAGTATTTGCCTTATCTGGGACTGGGGGTGGACATGGAGCCAGCTACACGTGGTAGCGTCCCCTATCGGCATCATGTTAATCAATCCTGATAACCCAACTGGGCAGCAGGCAGGATCAACATATATCCTGGATTCTGGATTTTATGATGTGGGCACTGTTATCTTTGCCAATACAGAGCCGGCCAAGATCCTCGAATCGAGCATCATCACACTTGATAACATTGGAGTTGAAGACGTTACTTCCATGGTGACCTTCTCTGATGGAACCTTGTTGAACCTTCCCGTTGGCAATGTCGATTTTGTCATAGTGGGTAATGTAGAAGCTGCTGGGTAAGTCGCGTCTCGTCTTGTTGTGACCCTCCAAGCAATGATCGGCTGACTCTCGGTAAAGCCCGAGCTACGGGATGTATCAGGTTGCCTTGAACAACCCCTCGCCTCTTCTCACCACCTCGGCTGTTTCTTACTTCCGCGACAGCTACTTCTACAAGTCTCGTCCCCAATACGAAGATCTTCCTCTTTCATATATCATCAATGTCAAAACCCTCGGGGCTAAGGGAGATGGTGTTACTGATGATACGGCTATCATTAACAAGGCTCTCGCCCTAACGGATGAAACGAATCTCGTATATTTTCCTGCCGGGTCGTACATTGTGACCTCAACCATCACAGTAGCACCGAGTACCCGTAAGTCTCTTTCCATCCTGCCTAAGCATACGCACACAAGTCTCCTTTTTTTTTTTTTTTTTTGAAAAGCCAGCGACTCCCAACGCTTACCCGAAGACAAAATAGCTGAAGTGAAAGCTGATCCCCTTGTGTAGGTATAACAGGCGAGGTCTGGTCGCAACTTGTCGCATCTGGCAGCGCGGGGAATTTTCAGGATGGCCAGAATCCGCAGGCCATGATCAAAGTCGGAGAGCCAGGCGATGTAGGTGTCGTAGAAATTTCCGACATGCTCTTCACCTCGATTGGTGCGCTCCCTGGCCTGGTTTTGATGGACTGGAACATTGCGGCCGATGAACAAGGATCGGCTGGCTTGTGGGATGCCCACTTTCGCGTCGGTGGTGCCACCGGGACAAAGCTCCAAGTGGCGGAATGTCCCAAGGGCGCTGCTATTCAAAAAGGCTGCATTGCAGCAGCCATGATGCTGCATATCACACCTGGGGCTAACGGCTATTTCGAGAATATGTGGGCTTGGGTAGCAGACCATGATCTTGACGATGCATCAAACACCATGGTTACAGTTGCATGTGCCCGTGGCATCTTGATCGAGTCGCAGGGACCAACCTGGTAAGTATCTTCAGCCTCTAGATGAGTGTTATTGAACTCCAAGCTGATGGGAGCTACAGGATGTTGGGTACTGCCTCGGAGCATTCTATGCTATATCAGTATAATTTCTATCAAACGTCCAACGTTTGGGCTGGCATGATTCAGACTGAGTAAGATATTCAGACAGCGTAGTAAAACCGGATGACTAACACTCGGGAATAGGTCGCCGTACTTCCAGTACACCACTAACACAGAGTCACCTGGAGTCTTTAGCGACAGTGTTGGGATCTTTTCGAACGACCCAATCTTTCCTGACAGTTCCTGCAAAGCTGATGACTTGATGTGCAACTTTTCATGGGCCGTCATGATCTATGCGACACAAAACCTGACGATAGCTGGCGCCGGGCTGTACTCTTGGTTCGTTCAATCTTGATTACATCACATCACATAAAAGAAATACTGACCGTAGTATTCGCAGGTTTGACAACTATGACCAGAGTGTCTGTGTCGATGCCCAGAACTGCCAACAGCGCCTACTTAATAATCAAGGCGCCAATGACCAGCTCTATTTCTTTAACCTTGTCACAATGTAGGTTTCTCAGTCGAGCTTGATGCCGTATGATCTTGACTAATATTTCTGAAGCGGCTCGGTGGAGATGGTGTCCGATACAGAAACAGGAACAATCGTTTACGCTGCCAACAACACTCAAGGTATGCTATACTGCCACGTTCTGCTAAGCTCAGAAATTGCAGCTAGATTAACTCATTGTCTGTGGTAGCCATTGCACACCCGTTTTGGTCGGTTTTGGGCGCCTACCTTGACGACTATACAACTGAGCCGTCTTTTTGTGACGATAACGATACTGATCCAGCATGTTATACTACTGCTCCCTGTGACTACTCGTTATCATATGCCACACTGGACGATCTTGACGCGGCCAGCAGCTCGTGGCCAGCCGATTGCATGTCGTACTACATGCTAGGCACTCTCAGCTCGCTTTTAACAGATGCCCTGAACAATTACACAACAGTAGATGATGGATACGACGTGAGTTATTCTTTACATCATCATGTGGTGGTAACCCACGGCATCATGGAATAGTCATGCTAACTGTCTTGAAGAGTGTGTTCAAGTACTATGTTAAGGCCGTCAAGGACATGGTTCCTGCTGCCCTTGCGGTAAGTCCACCAACTAACTTGCGCGATCAGTACGCCTTTTAGACCTCGTCTCTCCGCTAACACGGTACTATAGTCCTTCATGGCACCATCGAGTTCTGGTAAGTACAAGCTTGACCCATGATAACCCCGGTATATCGCGAATAGCCATGTCCTAACCTTCGTATTTCCAGATAACCCCAGCGGTGGCACCGGGAACAAGTACTTCAAATGTGACTTTGTTGAGACATACGGCGGAGGAAATGATAAGATTACGTACGACCCTTGTCCGGTAGGCTCTCCATACGCTCCTCGTTGTCAGGCTGTCCGCTGACCAGGCTTGTCGCCAGATTCCCTGGCACCAAATCGACTACGTCGACAAGTACACAATGACGGTGAGTTGATTTTCATTGCATCGAAGAGGCGTGCTACTAACATGCCGAAACTATAGTACACTCTAGAGGACTCAGAGGGCTTCTTTAATGACCTCCTGAGCACGTATGGAATAGAGCAAAGTTGGGTATCTTTCGGTTAGTTTCTTCATTTTCTGTTCTATGACATTCTCTCTTTACCAAGTCTGACATGAATTTCTTCCCTAGGCACCTATGCCAATGTCAATAACGACGCGTGCGGTGGCAATGTTGGTGGAGGGGGTCCCGGATCCAACCTCGACCGTCGATGCGACGGCATCGACATATACTTTTACAACTACCCTAAAGTGTCCGGCAACGTCACCGTCAGCAACCCGAAAGATATAGTCACCGCGGCGCTGCCCTCGGTGGCGACCCTCCAGAATACCATCATGGCTAGACAGCTGGACCTACTGTTCGGCCAATGGACCGGGCCAACTGATGATCTGATCCAGGTCATTTCTATGCCCGTCTTACTCATGGTGCAGGCGGTGCAGTCGATGCAGTCTGCCAAAGAGGAGGCGGAGAAGGAAAAGAAGGAGGAGCAGAAGGAACTGATCCTTGAGATTTTGGGCATCGTCTTTGCCTTTATTCCATTCCTTGACGATATTGCTCCTGCGATTGAAGGATTGGTAAGTCTTTCATGGATACTTCTCTGCTTTATTATTCTCTTTCTGTCTTCCTAGCAATGATTGAGCTCGCTACATCCATACAGCCCGAGCCAACGCCCCTTGTTGATCGATGTGCTAACTTGCTCTTTCAGGACATCGCTATGGAAATCTTTGATGTCGCCGGCAACGCCGCATTAGCCATCCAAGGCATCGTGGCCCATCCCGAGGAGGCGCCTATGGAGATCCTCGGCGCCCTCGGGGCCGGCGTGGACAAGAACGAGGAGGACATCGCAGCACTAGCCAAGGCGCGTCGCGGTATCAGCTCGGACGATATTGGCAAAATTGGTGCCAAATTCCAAAACCTAGACAAGCAGATGCAAGACATGATCAAGGCCAAGGCATGTCGCATCTGAGCTACCTGATAATCTAGCGGCCACTGTTGCTGTCTCGGACGAATCGGACCTAAGGTGGGCAGGTAGACGGACTAACGATGCTGGAAGGCACCTTTGGAAACATTTTATAAGCTCCAGTTTCCGGCAAGAAGCTGGCTTACCCTCTGACAGCTCTTTCAGATTTCTTTTATTCAATTTGGAGACATGAAGCAGCGCGGGCTACTGATTATAATTATATACCCTAAGATCTCTTGACGTTGAAGGGCTGTTCATGGCAGGAAGACTGGTTCAAAAGATACTTGAAGTGAATGATGATCTCAAATTACTCAATTCAAAGTCTTAAAATATTGATAGTGATCCCGAAAGCTGCTTGGAGCTACTCGAGCTGCGCACGGTTGTATAGCATGTTGGCAAGGGGAAAACGAACTGGGGCTCAAATCTCAGTTCGATCTCATGGCCAATAATTACTGAATGCCCATTACCCTCCTCAGATCGTGCAGCTTTATAAGCACTAAGGACAGTGATAAAAATCCATCTCTACTCTATATAGAAGACATTACTATCGCAAAGGTATGTGTGGGTGTGATCTCTCTGATCAGCAATATGACAAATAGGAAGTATGTGCTGTTGAACGCCGCAAGTTGGCATAATGCACGCCCTTGGTCTATGGATAACTGCAGTCTACCGCATACTACGGCAGAGGCAAGCTAACTAAGCAACTGCCTTAGAAGACATGGATCCTACAACCTGGTTGACTAAACCTTAGATCTCCCACTATCATCTATTCACTTTATCCTTACTTCCGCACTTACTGTTGATACGTGGTTCTCGGATCCTTACAAAATCTGGTAATATTGGCCCAAAATAAGACCCAAGGCGACCTTTCAGTTAGAGTTACGCCATAGCTATCAGAGCAATTAGACAAGACGACATAAGGTCCCAACGCTCAAGGGCCAAGAATGGGGTCAGAAGACTATTTTAGGGTCGCTCAGGGAAAGGGTGAGTAGGAATTGATGTAGGCTGAGCAAGTCTGATGAGGACTGATCAAGAACTGAGTCGAAAGTTGAGCCGGGCGGCGCAGAGGCCCTAAGAGCGGCCACCGGTGCTGACTAAGAAGTCGCTTGAGTTTCGTCTCAGGATACCGAACGAATCCGACGCGTGACAATCTTGCAACAAGGACAATGTTTCATCAAGACTCGTGACTGAAGAGCGGTGTCCATGATGCTGTTTTATTCTTGGCAGGGGTATCTCTACAGTATCTGACTTCTAAGGAGATAGCATGTGTCGCGGTTTGGAGTCGTATTTCTAGCACGAGTTCATTTGAGCAGTCCAAGCCGCCTCGCCAAATTTTCGGCTAAGTGCCCACACTGTGTGCCTCCCAGTCTTAGCAGGAAGCCACAATTATAGCTACCTATTTACTACGATGGTATCTTTCACGGCTATAAAGTCTATGAGTCTAGCTTAGAGTCTGTCATATTTGTATTGAATTATAGTATATTACTTATGATTTTTTATTTTAAACTAGAAAAAAAAAGGTAAAAAAAAGAAAAAAAACATGGACGCACCCGGGATTGAACCGGGGACCTTCTACAATTTATTGGGAAATGCGAAGCAGAAATCATACCACTAGACCATACGCCCTTTAGTGCTTCGAGCTGCTTTACAAGTATATATACCAAATAAGCTATCCCAATCATATGGACGAAGGTTCGCATCGACTACAATGCCTGGATAGATCTGCGCGAAGAGCTAAGCAGGGAGTGTCGGTGAAGTCTTCGCCGTGTACAACAAAGTTGACCAAGTTGTACAACATCTGTAACCTCCAATTGTGGTGGCCAGCCCTTCGTATTGCTTGCTGCTCTACCCCGGCTTTAGTCATCATCTTTACTAATGACTTTCGGAGGCCTGTCGATTCTCCGAGCGACGACGACGATGTTTCAAGAGTGCCTTGTGGTTGCTTGATCCGACTTCGAGGCTGCGAACCCTATTTGAATCGAAGGCTGTCGTTTCGGCAAGTGAATTCCAAGTTGTGGTCGTTTCCTTCGTCGCTGTAAGCCCCAGCGTTCAGGTCTAGATCGCCGACGAGTCTGACGATCACATCCTCAGCGATATCCTTCCGGATATCCCAATCGCCATCCTCCGCAGGATCCTCTGCATCATCCTCTACGATATTGTCTGTGATATCCATCGCAACACCTTCTGTGACACCCTCTGCGATGACCCCATCATCGCAGTCATAACACCGACTAATCCATATGCCGTCTTTGGTCATAGCAAGATCTGCATCCTGCAATGCTTCGCGGATGTCGGCTTCCTCTTGTCTCCCATAGAAGACGCCAACGGCAGCGAGTCGCTTCTCGTAGATCCGATCAAACAGCTCTTTTGTCTTTCTATAAGCCTCGAGGCCATATTTTCCGCGATAACCGCGGTCGCACATGAGGTCCGACCCATCGCATCGTTTTGACCTATTGGCCAAGAACCCGGTTATCCACAGCAGTGCCAGTGTAAGATCCCCGAATATCCGCTCGAGCTCTTGAATGTCCTCATCGTTCACAAAGCCGCGGTAGTGCAGCCAGTCGCGATAAACGAGGCACAGGGATAACGCCGTCAAGGGCTCTGCGTTCTCATCCTTTTCTCTGCGGCGTTGTGCGAACAGGGCCGCAAAGAAGCACGCATTCTCCCATGAGGTATATTTGAGCTTTTGACTCGTAAGAGCCTGTGCGAGCCCCAAAACATCCCTGAGCTGTCGCAATTCGTCGACCTTCTGTCTGAAAGCTGCCACAAGGGGTTGGGGGCTCGCGATTAGAACCTTGGACACCTTCTTTCTGCGTTCTGTTATGAACCAAACACGGTGAGATTTGTCCCGGAGCAGTAGTTTACATGGGCCTACAACATCGTTCGAATCTCGAAACGCTGACAGAACGTCGCATTGTATCCGCAATCCGAAGAGTATTACCACTTTAACATGACTTTCCATGATAATGGTCTGGTTTTGGCGACTGACCAACATCCGCTGGGCCGATAATTCTTCGGAGATTGAGGGCCCGGAACCAGCGCCTTGAAGAGAGCTCGTCCAAGTCAAAGCATTGCTTTCTGTGAGACCAAAGCTGTCGAGAGGCTGTATCTGAGCTCTGTCTTTGTCCGATCTTATACCAATGGCCTCGGAATTTACCACGACACCGATTTTTGCCTGCCAATTTTCTCTTGGAGGGATGAGTTGGGTCATGTTCCGAGGCGGTTTTACTGCCGCTTCTGACTGGAGTGTAGCAAGTTTTGCCTCAATATCGGCAGACAATGTGCCGCTTACTTCCAATGACTCAGAGAAATGGAAAAAGCCTTTGAGACTCAGGTTGGCTTCTTCGGCTACTTGCTCCATGGCTTGTAGATAGTCTGCTTTCAATAGGGCCGCAGGGCGGCGCAGGGTGTTTCGCTTGTCAAGCAGTTGCTTCTTTCTCGCATCAGGGAAACTCGCGATATCAACATCGGGAGACTGTCGATGGTACCCTGTGTTCTTGGTTCGTAAATGGGCCGGGACATTACGGCCTTCGAATGAGGGCGGCAAGTTGTTCAAACCGACATCCGAGTAGTCTCCAGGCCCAAAGATGTCGGTGAGAACACATCCGGGCAAGGACTGGAAGGCCCGGCAAAATGTCATCTCAAGAACATTCAGCACTGGAGCAAACCGCGCTACAGCCAATGTCGTATCGATTTCCTCGCTCATATTGGGAGTCTCTAAGGGTGGCGCAGACCAGAGTCGTAGAAACCGGGCATATCGATGCCCGGTGCCACGGGCGAGGATGTAGTAATGGAGAGTGTCAGCGCTTCCACTGGTTATCTCATGCGCATGTTCGACTGCGACACGGATCACAAGCCGTCCTGATTGACCGTTAAAGACTCTGAGGCATGCCGGTAGCCGCTTATCGAATATACCACTGGCATATCCACCAGCTTTCGGCTAGGGGGCTCGCGTGTTAACTGTAGCTCTTGCGCGTCGACAAAACTAAAAATTACTTCTCTTTAGTAGTGCGAAGCTACTTAAAATAAAAAAAAAATAAAAGAAGCTTGGAATCCTAGCAAAATCACATACATTTTTGAGGCGTCAAATCTTTCTCCTGGAGCTCTAAGAGTTCTGGTTCAACTTGAGCCATTGCTTGTCCACAATGGCGACTGTTTTGACGCCCTGAGAGCACGGAATATTCCCGCCGTTGAGTATCCTCAGAAAGCCATCTAGGGCATTTCGCCAGAGTATGCCTCCGGTTTCGGCAGTGGTAGCAAGGAAGGAAGGGGCAATACTTTCTCGCGTGGAATTGATGTTTACCTCTTCGACATTGAGCTTTCATCCGTCTTTGTTCTTGCCGCAACTTCTTTCTTCGCCTTTCGTCTTCTTCTTCTCGAAGCCTTCGTCTTCCTTCTTCGCTTCGACGAACTGGTTTTGGTTGGAAATGAGCCATGGTAGTTTTAGAAGAGGGGTTAATAAGCTTCTTAACGTTCAGAAAGAAATATATGTCTTATTATATCTCTAATTGATAGGTGTATAAGCTAGAATCAGGATAGAGGAGAAGAGGGGGAAAAGGAGGAGGAAGGAGAGAATATAGTATATGAATTAAGACTTAATGATCTTATCATCAAAACAGTCAGTACCCCAGCTCGCCTTTCAAAGTATAAAGAAGGGTCCGAACGTTAAAGCTTATTGGCCGGTGTCAGTAGACCACGTAGGGCCAACTGAGCAATCACAATTTGGCAGTCTCAACTACGGCACCTACATCCACCAACCACCCAATGCCCATCCCATACCCTGGCAGATACGCAAAGTGCAAATCCAGCGGCAGAAGCACCTCGGGTCACGGAAGCATAACTGACTAAGTAAGAGAGGTTCGGGCCTGGCGGTACTGTTCTCCGATATCCGTGTAGTTACCACATTCCATCCATCCATTCATCCCAGGTGCCATCGGTCTGCCCATCCATCCGACTGTCCGTCTGTCCATTCCTGTCCGTATCTATTCCCCTCCACTCCCGACTTTCAAGTTCTCCAAGAGGCAGCTCATCGCCTATGCCATCGTGATTAACTGCTGCTGCAGAATGCATCATCATCCCGAAACCGCCGGTGCCAGCACCGGACGAAGATGAAAGACCCAGATTCACATCTCGCGCCACAGCGTCAGCGTATCGGGTCGTGCCCCAGCGGTGGATCTGCTCAATCCACTGCGGCAGCAGGTGCTTGGAGACCTCGCTGATGTCGGCGCCGAGGAGGCGCGTCATGCGTGCGCCGTTCCAGTTGCTTGGCGTTTTCGGCCGGCCGCCAAGGCCGCCGGGATTCGATGTAGTGGCGCAATAAGCGCTGTCGCGATTGTTGCTGACTTTGTTATCCACTTGACAGGCTCGTGTTGATGGGGCAGCAGACTGCTGTTGAGGGGGATGAGACTTCGTAGCTTTGAATCGGGAAAGCGTGGCTGCTGCCCTGCTGGAGGAGGGGGGAGCGGTTCTTGACATCTCAGCGGACTCGGTGCCGCCGCCGTTGTGGTTGACAAAAGCAGGACCACTGGAGACGGCGGTATTATTCCTCTTGTTGGGCTGGATGGTCCAGACGCTGAATTGGTCCCATCCGACGATGATGCAGTAGTGCCTGATCGTGTCTTCGTCATTCTCATGCTCTATAGCCTTGAGATCCTTATTCTCTCGGCCCGTATCATCCCGCTTGGCGAACATCTTCTTCTCGTGTAGCAGAAATCGGTTGTACAGGGCGGCTCCCCCGGCCCTAGCAAGTGTATTGATAGTCGTCGCCTCCGCGATAGTATCGGAGCTGTCTGGCAGATATCCGATCGAGAGGTAGGGACACACGGCATGCTCTTCGCCGACGGCGTACGTCGAGGCCTGCAGGCGCAGAACGAAGGCTTTGTCCTTTGAGTTCTGCGGAGACAGCCAGAAGGTGATGCTAGCCGAGGTGTCAGCTGTCTGCTGCGGTGGCTGGTCCTTTTGGCCATCGATGGGAAGAGGATGAGGAAGGAGTTGCCAGTCGACGCCGCCGCTGTTCTTGTTGCGCAGGGGGTCGAGTTGAAGGAACCGAACGGACGACCAGGCGACGCCGC